AGAATCTTTGCCAAGAAAACCTCAAAATGAGGTCATGAAGAGCCTGGCACAACTAAAACGACTCAACAACAAAACAAATTGTGGTACATAAATGTTAATAGTATACTGCTGTGCTGTGAGAAATGACAAATATGATGAATACAGAAAAGCATAGAAAGACTTACATGAAATGATACAGAATGAAATAAGCAGAGCCAAGAAAACATTCTCCACTTTCACCCGAAAGTGAATGTTGTAAAATTACAAAGAACAAGTATGGCCCCAGAAAAGATACATGAGATGATATTTCCCGTGCTCTTTTGCAGAGAGTGGGAGTCCAAAGTGTGGAACACTGCATATGTTTTCAGATTTCTGATGCATTGACTGGTTTTCCTGATTGCTTTTCCTCTTCTCTTTAAAATATATTCTTTGTTGACTATGATGACTCAGGAGGAGGGGAAAGGATAAAGGGGGAAATTTAGGTGATGTAAAAGCAAAAGATACCAAAATTATTTTTACAAATGAATACAAAGGTAAGTTTTAAAAAGAAATTATAGGAGTGTCAGGAGACGACTATATGAAGAAGGAAAGAAGAAAGATAAGAAATGAAGCATAAGAAGAGTCAGGGGAAAAAAAGATACACTCAACTGACAAAGGGACTCTGCATGTAATTGGCAACAAGGCATTGTTTTGCTGTAAAGAAGAAAGGCCGAGTCAGCAGAAAGAATTGACTGAAGCCAATTAGGGTCTCCAGCTATTAGAAGATTACTGAAAGAAAGCTATCTGGGCTTGTTGTGACATCTACAAATTGAGAAAAGGGAAATCTCTCAGAAGTGCCTACGTTGCCCTCTATAGCTTAAAAAAAGAGAAAGGAGAAGAGGAAAGAGCTTTAAAGTCTGGCAGCAAATAGATTTAGATCGTGATATCATACTATATCCCACAATAAGCTCCAAATGGACACATAATCTAGACATAAAAGTTCTATCATAAACAAATTACAAGAGAAAGGAAAAAAAATACCTTTAACAGCTATGGACAGGAGAAGAGTTTATGATCAACTAAAGGACAGAGAAGTTCACAGAAAATAAGATGGTCAATTTTTATTAATAAAATTGAAACATTTTTGCACAAAATTGATGCTGTTAAAATGAGAAGGAAAAGTTAAATGGGCAAAGGCCTTTGCAACAAGTTTTTCTGATAAAAATCTCTTTCCAAGATACATAAGGAACTGATTCAAATGATTCAGCCATTCCCTCACAGAAAAAATGACCAAAGGATACGAACAGGCAGCACCCAAAAGAAACTATCCAAGGAATCAACAGAAACATGAAACAACTTTGAGGTTTTACCTCTAACTTATAACATTGGCAAAGATGATTTAAAAAAAAAAAAGAAAATGACAATTATTGTGGGGGTGGGGGGATGCAGTTTGCAGGAAGGCAGATGGTACAGCTGTGAACTGGTCTAGCCATTCGAAAAGCAATCTGGAACTATGCCTGTAGCCCAGAGATCAAAGAAAGAGAAAAGAGACTCATATGTACAAAAATATTTATAGCAGCTTTTTTTGCTGTTGTAGCAAAGAGCTATAAACTAAGAGGGTACTCACGTCTTGGGGAATAGCTGAACAAATTATGGTATGTAAATATTATTGTACTATAAGAAACTACAAACAGGATATCCGAGAAATCCAGGAATACTTGTATGATCTATTTCAGAGTGAAGAGAACACAACCAGGAGAACAATTTATAAATAAAAACACCTTAGAAAGGCTTGAAATCTCTGATTAAGGATGACCAATCACAACTTCAGAGAACAGAAGATGAAGCATGGCAGCCACTTTATGACTTGGGTGATGATTCTAAATCACAGAATCTTTTTTTTATATATTTTTTAGGCAATTGGGGTTAAGTGACTTGCCCAGGGTCACATAGCTAGTAAGTATCAAGTGTTTGGTCTGAGGCCAGATTTGAACTCAGGTCCTCCTGATTTCAAGGCCAGTGTTCTATCCACTGCGCCACCTAGCTGCCCCTAAGTCACAGAATTTTAGATAGAGAAAATGTGTGAATTTTTGTTTTTGCTTGTCTATGCTTATTTGTTTCAAAGGCTATGGATTCCCAGCGCGCCCCCACCCTCCATTTTTATTTGATGTAAGGGATTTGGGAAAGAAAAAGAGTAGTAGTAGTATCAAAAAGAAAAGAGAATCGCGGAAGCTTCCTTAAAAATCCACTGAAGGGAATAAAAGGAAATTCCAGGGGGGGAAACAAACAAGAAAAACAGCTTTGAAAGTAACATGCTGAATTTATTATATGCATTTTTAAAAATCAAGCTATAGGTAACAGAGATTCAGAATTTCACATATAATCCTCTTTGTTATATGGAAATACTTTCGGGGGGGTACCTACTAAATTAAGAATAAAAATAACAAATTTTCTTTGAAAACAAGTTTGGCAGCTGTTTTGAATTATACTGGTATTCTTCTCAAAGAACACATTTTCTCCTGCCAAGGGTGGGTGATGGATGCTAAAAAGCACACACTGGCAAAGAAACAGCTTTGTCTAGGAAAGGAACTTCAAGACTAGAAAGTGGGACAGCTAGCAAACAAGGGACTTTGCTGAACAGGTGACACATACAGCCAGACTAAAATGTCCTAAAAAAGATCAAGGAAATGAAGGCTTACTATCTAGTCATAAGATGTCCCAGGCACGTGGCTTTCCCACATGTGTGCATCACTGCTAGATTTCTATCTATGCCCACACTTCCCAGTGATGTGCACTGATGGGACTGGAGAGTGTGACCACGTCTATGACTTGGATGATGATTCTAAGATGGACTATTCTACGCTGATTATTCTTGCTCTGGCTTACTATTGAGTGAATGTTGAGATCAGTCATGCTTTTCTCTTCTCATATAGTAACAGTATCATGTTTTGTAGTCATTGGTGTTATTGTGACTGATTTTGTATCAATGGGAGCACACAAATGGGGCTCAAGAGTTAAAGTGTCATGTAATGAGTTGTTTGTCGTGGTTGTTGAGTTGTTTCAGTCATGTCCAACTTTGTGACCCCATTTGGGGTCTTCTTGGCAGAGATACTGGAATGGTTTGCCATTTCCTTCCCCAGCTCATTTTACAGATGAAGAAACTGAGGCAAATAGGGTTAAATGACTTGCGAAGAGTCACATAACTAGTAAGATTCTGAGGCCACATTTGAACTTGGGTCTTCCCAACTCCAGGCACTATCCACTGTGCCACCTAGCTGTACCCATCATATACTGTGCATACATCAAGTAAATTTCTAATTTTTAAATCACATTAAAATTTCATTTTACCACAAATTTTTTCCTTAGCTAAATGTTCCGTATCTTTTTTGAAAGGTGTCACTGACACACCTAGTTCTAACTCTGTGACCAAATACAACCATGTAAGTGTCTAGCTCTCCCACCCCAAATCTCATTTTAACCTTCTGTAGAGTTGGTTACCTCTCATTACACATGTTTAATAAACATTATTTCATCACAAGTTGTCTACCACATACACAGACACAGTGACAAAGGTATAATGAGTCAGGGAAAGCAAGTTAATTTTGTCTACAGGAAAAAATTAGAAGTCGAAGAACTGATAAAGAAAAGTTAGACTACTCTGCCATCTGGTTCCCACTTTCTGCAAACCACAGGTTAGTGATATTCATCTATGTACCAGTTCCTATATTTCCAGTCTGACCAAAAAGGACCAATGAGCCAAGTGCCATCCTGAGGTAGGAATGGCCCAACTCTGACATGAATAGTTTCTAGGATTCCATTTTCTTTATGATTACAAAATACATTTACCTGTTTTAGAAATTAAAACAAAACTGAGTTATTCCAATGCTCTACATTAATGAACATTCCTGGGGTTGACTAGCCTTGAAGGCTTTTAATCCCATTAGATTATCAGCTTCCACCTTCCTTTCTCTTATTTTTCCTCTACTTTCCAAACTACATGAGAGGCAAAAAGACAAAGTGGACAGAGGGCTGGCCTTGGTGCTAGGAAGATTTATGGGCTGGGTGACCCTGAGTATGTCACTTATTATCACAGTGCCCTTGGCAACTCTCTAATACTGTAAGTTTCAGTTAAGGTACAGACCTCCACTGGCAAAGGGAGATGCCCATGTCAATGAAATCACAGCGATATAGCCTGGACTTATCTCCAGATGGCATGGCAGAAGTAGCTGGGAACAAGCATTGGAAAGGTATTCGACTTTCCCCTTTAGAGTGACACACTCTGGATTCCCAGGACCACAAAGAACTTCCTGACACTGCTAAATCACCCAGAGTTTAAATGTGAGAAATATGGAAGCAGCTGCTATGGTAACTGGGTATTGTTTAGGCTAGACAGTAGTGGTGTCAGTCGCTACACGTTCAACATATTGAATATTGCCTTATTCTTATAGTATTGCTACATCCTACATTAACTATGGGTTATCAACTTATTTTGTTATTTATATCAGATCAATAACATATATACAGTGCTTTGCAACCTTGAAGCACTATCTAAATGCTAGCTCTGGTATTTTGTTTCCTCTAGAAAGTAAGCTCTTTGAGGACAAAAATAACATCTTATCTTCTTTCTGGTTGTCTAATTTGTTGTTATTCAGGCATGTCTAACTCTTCATGACCCCATGTGGGATTTTCTTGACAAAGATACTAGAGTCGTTTCCCATTTCCGTCTCCAGATTATTTTATAAATGAGGAAACTGAGGCAAACAGGTAAGTAACTTGCCTAGAGTCACACAGCTAGCAAGTGTCTGAGGCCAGATTTGAACTTAAGAAGGTAAGTCTTCCTGACTTCAGGCCCAGCACTCTATCCACAATGCCACTAAGCTGCGCCTAGCTGCTTCTTTTCTTACATCTTCCTATAGTAATTGCTACAGTGATCCAGGGCCAGCAATCACTCAGTAAGTGCTTATTAATTTATTAATGGAAATAAAATTTCCTAAAACTCAAGGGAAGAGTTTCCTTAAGTGAATCCAAACATATATACTTACAGGACAGGATGAACGATCAACTCTGGACTATATGACTTAATCACTGGGGCTGCATCTTTGGTACAAAATACATGGGAGAGATCTGCACCCTGGGAAATAATTAGCAAAAGACAAAAGCTTTAAAGTAAGCTAGTTCACCTATTAAATTTTAAAACTAGTTATCATCAACATCTCATGTAAGAGCAAGTCAGTTAATATTCAATGAGTCACTATATGAAATAATAGAAGAAAAAAACTTTTATCAGAAACTGGTTCTAGCCTTTCACTGACATTTTTATTTGCATAGAGATATACATAATTAACACATATAATTATTGGGTAGATAATATGTAAATGAAGTATGATCAAAGTGAAAAGAGCCTAAGAGAAAAAAAGAATGTAAGGTGGGTGTTACTACCTAAGAGACTATAAATTAAAGATCAAATCAAACATACACACAACATACAAGAGAACTGTACAACAAACCCCTCAGTTTTCAGTTCCCAAAAATGCAGTTTCAAAAGACTAATAGTTCCAACATGTTTTTCATTTTTCAAACTAGCTTACAGTCTTCTCTGAAGATCTGTGGTCATGAATATACTGGGGCTTACATTGTGTTTTACTTGCTGGAGAAATGATATCTTCAGAGTTGCTCAAAATGCATGAATAAATGCCAGGCTTAATTTCTTCAAAAACAAAAACAAAAGTTAGAAACTGAAGAAGTTTGTAAATGATCAAAATATCCTTATTTGTGGCACTTATTTATGAAATTCAAAACTAACTTTCTGATATTGTTCAGTTAAAGCAATGTCTAGTCTCAACAAATGGAATTTTGCCAAACAGTTCTCAAAAGAAGAACTGAAAAATATTACAAATTTTTCATATTAATATGAAGTGTTGCTCAAAATCACTGGTCAGAGAAATGAAAACTAAAACAAAGTCTTGATGTTTTATCTCACATCCAGCAACTTAGCAAAGATTTAAAAAAATGGAATATACTGCAAAAAGGGACTGCAAAAAGACAGGCGTGTTAAAAGACATTGTTGGTCAAGTTGTAAATAATGGACCAATTTTAAAAAGAAATCTGGAATTACGCTTTTAAAAAATTGACAAAAATGTCCACAAACTTTGACTTAAAGATCAAACTTTTCTTTGAACAGGAAGGAAGTCAAAGAAAAGAGGAAAGACCCCATATACACCAAAATATTCATAATAGCTCTTTTTGTGGTAGCCAATAACTGGAAACAAAAGTACATGCCCATTAATTGGGGAATGGCTAAACCATATGGTATAAGAATGTAATGAAATACTACTGTGAAATGAAAAATGTGCATAGGAAAATGAATAGGAACTGATAGTAACATAACCAAAACAAGGAAAACTATACACAATGACTAAAGGCAGCCATGTGGTTCAGTGGATAGGGCCTGAGCCTGGAGTCAGGAAGACTTAAGTTCAAATCTTGCCCCAAATACTTCTAGCTTTGTGACTCGAGCAAGGCATTTAATCTTCTTTCTCATTTTCCTCATCTATAAGTTCAGGATAATAATAGCACCCACATCTCAGGGTTGTTGGAAGGATAAAATGAGATAATTTGTAAAGTGCTATACAAAACTTAAAGGGCTATCACACTGTGGACTCATTAGACTTGCAATCTATTAAAAGCCATATTGACTTAAAAAAAACTTAAAAGGGCTGTATAAACACTAAAAACGTAAAGGGAAAGAACAAAAACAACAAAAACCTGAGTGCTGTGTAATTACAGTGATCGAGAAGCCTGACTTTGAAGAATGATTAAGACAATGCACCTCTCTCTTCCCTCTTTGTAGAGCTATATTACGAAATACTGCACACACTGTCAGACTCCATTGATAAATTTGTTGGTTATTGGCTGCTTCTATGTCTTCCCACTTCTAATATCTGTTCCACCAGGGTAGAGGGTCTTAAACTAAAGTCTGCGAATTTGATTCTTTATTTTTTTATGTTTTGATGACCATATTCTAATGTAACTGGTTTCTTTTGCAATCCTGTTTACTTTATTCTTTTTAAAATATTTTACATATCTAAAAGCATTATTCTGTAAAAGGGTCCATAACTCAAAAAAGTTTAACACCTGCAATAGGGTCTTCCACAAAGACTACAGGTACTGTTACTGTATCGTTAATAGTCAAATGGAATGTTGGGAAAAGGGCAGATTTTAGTTATAGTTGCAACCATCAATCCTCTATAAGGTACTTTTCCCAATGGTACTTTCTCTCAGGAAAAGTGTTTTTATCTTTAATCCATGAAAATCAAAGATAAATTTTGAAGAAGACAGAGAGAAGGGGAGGAGATGCTTCTCTCTTGTGAGAACTGACAATGTATTTTATGAAGAAACTTAAAGAATTCTATGTGCAGAATTAGCAGTTAACAACACAATCTAGAGAGATTATTACTGCAATAGCTAAATAGAGGGAAAACAAAAAGACCAAGAAATTCATTTTCTCAGGAAATAAATTAACTCTTATATTGATGAGAAATAATAAAGAAGACTCTTGAGAAACTAATGAGTGAGGTAAATGTTTCTAAAAGTGGAGAGAAGTTATCTCCTGAAATGGTGAGGATTTGAGGTGACTGGCTGAAATCTTTCACACGACCAAAATACTGTAAGTAATTTTGTCTTTTTTATTACTGATTAGTTAATAAACCATATATTCAGCACCTTTAACTTTTTAAATCACAGAAGATTAAAAGATTCATTACATAGAGAATTATGAATAACTATTAGAAAAGGAAGTATCTCTAGTTTATTCAACAAATAATGTTTAATGAACTACGGAGAGGGCTTAATAAAAAAGAGGTTGCAAGTTTATTAATAAGACAATATCAAAACATACCCCTAGAGTATTCTACATCTTAAGATAATAAGATTACATAGGGAATGAATCAAGTGGCTGACTGAAGGGAAACCTATAAGTGAGGAGTAGTCAACTGTATAATACTTGCTACACTCCCTCTTTTTTTAAAAAAATTCTTTGTTATAAGCGATAACTGTCTCAGTAAGGGAAGGATATATGTGGAAATGAAGGTGATATAAAACAAAAAGATATCTAAGAAATTTACAAAGTAATTTTACCAACTGAAAACATATCAAAACAAAACCACATAATTTTTAGTACTCCATTATAAAACAAATGCTTTATTCAGATTCTATCATTTAAGTTCTAGTTAGAATAAGACATACAGATATGCAATTAAGAAATTTAAATAAACATACCAGTTTGAGGGCTGAAATTGCTGCAAAGTATGGAGCCCCTGTGTACCTAAAAGAGAGATATTTAAATATGTAAACTCAGGATCTTGTAAGACTCCCCAGGCACCTCCAAAATTCATTTAGACAGTGATCACACCGGAGACCATGCGAAATGTAAAATTAAATAAATTAGCAACTAGCACCACTTCAGGCTCATTCATAAAAATATTATTCATAATAACATACAATTCTTAATACCAAATATATGTGGACAACAACTTTGATTCACTTTTATTTATTCGACTGGCTTACCTAAAATTTGCATAAATTATACCATATCTACTAACATAGATCAAATGACATACGTATAAAGTGCTTCTCAAAGCTTAAATCACTATATAAACGTCAATTAGGTTAGCTAGGTGGTACAGTGGATAGAATGCCCAGCCTGGGGTCAGGAAGACTCATCTTCCTGATTTCAAATCTGGCCTCAGACACTTACTAGCTGTGTAATACTGGACAAGTCACCTAACTCTGCCTCAGTTTCCTCATCTATAAAATGACCTGGAGAAGGAAATGACAAACCACTTTGTATTTTTAACAAGAAAAAAAGAAGAGTCAGACATGACTGAAAAATGACAAAATAAATGTCAATTGTCATCAAAATGTTCTCACGAAGTTAAAGTTAACAGTCAAAACTAGTCATATTTCTATGTTCTTCTGCCTAGTTGGAAAATTCAACGACATATGAAAATTCTGTGTAAATAAAAGTATAATATAGTGGTCAGATTGTGATTTATTAAATTTTGGGAAGGGAAAAGGTGCAGACCCCTTGACATGTGATTTCATTAGTGCAGGGAACTCACAATACAGAATCTCCCTCTACCAAGGCAGAGCAGCAACTCATCTGTAACATATAGACAGTCTTAGAAAGTTGCCTGGGACATTGTCAAATTAAGTGATTTGTCCCAGGTCTCAGAAACTAAAATACGTCTGAAGAAGGACCCAGATCTTTCAGACTCTGAGACCAGTCCTCTATCTACTGCGCTATGCTGCCTCTCAATAAGGGAATAAAAGAATTGATTGTATCATTTTAAAGTTTCAATAGCACTAGGTTTAAACTAAGAATGATTTAATGTGATCTTTCATTCAATAAATATTTCCTTAGTGTCTATTACACATACATGGCACTGTGCTAGGTATTCACCACCATCCTAGTCACACACACACACACACACACACACACACACACACACACACACACACACACGTTGAGTTTCCAAAAGAGTCAATGACCAAACTCACAAAAATAATGATTGAAGTTAACAAATATCATGTAGACAGAACTAAATGTAATTTATTCAAGACAAACAATGAAGAATATCATTTCTACTAGCTTCCATCTTATTAAGAAGGCTATAAATATGTAGCCCTTTTGATGGTTTCAGTGAAACTTCTAAGACTTGCATGAATTGATGTAAAATGACCAGAACAAGAACAATTTATACAATAAAAACAATGTAAAAATGAACTGAAGATTCCAGGGCACCAATGATAAATAAAGCATGCTACACGCCTCCTGCCAGACAGGTGATAGACCAGGGCCTAACGAGATTTTTTTAAAGACATGTTCCATGTAGAAATTTGTCTTGCTTAACTATCTTTTTTGTTACAAAGACTTTTGTTTGTTTGTTTGTTTGTTTGTTTTTGATGGTGGGGATAGTGGCAAGAGGGAAAGAAATCTGTTTTTGTCCATTGGAAAAAAATAAAATTTAATTTAAAAAAAGCCTCTAAGAAAAAAAATGGCATTCAAAACGCAGAGAGAGTATTCTAATAGGAACATAACAGAGATCTCTTTTCTAGCATACATGGGGAACTTATTCAAATTTATAAGAATTAGAACCATTCCCTGATTAACAAATGGTCAAAGGACATGAACACAATTTTCAGGGCTAAAATCCAGGCTATCAATAACCATCTAAAAAAAATGCTCTACATCACTATTGGAAGAGAAATGTAAATTAAAACAACTCCAATGTACCACCTCATACTCATCAGACTGGCACAGCTGACAATAAAGGAAAATGACAAATGCTAGAGGGTTGTGGGAAAACAGGCACATTAATGCACTGTTGGTCGACCTGTGAACTAGTCCAATCATTCTAGAAAGCACTTGGAACTATGCCCCCAAAACCGTTAAACTGTGCATATCCTTTGACCTAGTGATACCAATACTAGGTCTATAACCCAAAGAGATCAAAGAAAAAGGAAAATACGAATAAAAATATGAATATGAATAAAAATATACTCCCTCTTTGGGGGATGGCAAAGAATTGGAAACAGAGGGGGTGCCCATCTACTGAGAAATGATATATAAATGTGATGGAATACACATAAGAAATGATGAATGGGATGGTTTCAGAGGAACTGATGCTGACCAAAGTGAGCAGAATCAGGAGAATGATTTATGCAACAAAAATAATATTGTAAAGACAACTTTCAATAAGTGATGAAATTCGATCCAGAGAACGACCAATCAATTCCAGAGGACTTATGATAAAACACATTAGCCAGCTCCTAATAGAGAAGTAATAGACACAGTACACAGTGAAACACAATTTCTTTGAGCATGGTCATTGTGAGAATTTGTTTTCTTAAGCATACATATTTGTAACAGGGGTTTTTCTTCTTTTCTAAATATGAAATATGCAGGTGACAGAGAAAAGATAGGAGAGAAAGCAATTTTTGTTTGAAAATAAGTAATTTTTAGAAAAATAGCAGCATGAAAGAAAAGATCATTTTCAAGTCTATAGTCTTTTGTTATTCTTTGGTGATCTTTTGGTGACAATGAAAACTGATGGACCGTTTTCAAGACTAAACTCATATATGTTTCATGAAGATTGATTATTTGGAAAGACAAAATAAGTTCAGCTCCTCCCATGAATCTTACTCAAAGGATAATAGTGCTTAAAAAGCCAATTGTGGTTGATATTGCTCAGTCATGTTGGACTCTTTGTGAACCTGTGGGCCTCTGTCCAGGGGGTTTTCTTGCCAAAGATACTGGAGTGGTTTGCTGTTTCCCTCTCCAGTAGCAGCTTTCCCAGGGTCACATGGTTCTATACATTGCACCATCCAGCTGCCCCCAAAAAGCTAGTGCCTGTTCACATTCCCACACATGACTTTTAGCAAATTCATCAGTTCACTGGGGTGGAACTGACAGCAATTATTTATATAAAAATTGAAGGCTTTAAGAGTATTTTCTTCTAATTCAATTAATCATTTAATACTGGGGGGGAAAATCATACAATCTGAGAGTTAGAGGGGTCTGTAAGTGGTCATCTAGTCCAGTGATATCAAACTCAAAAAGTAGAAACTGATCCCTGGGAACCACCTATTGATTTAGAAAACTACAAATTAATATTATCTACGTTGTATAGTATTTTAAAAAAAAATTTTGTTAACCATTTCCCAATCAACATTTTAACGTGGTTCAGACCACACCAGGGAGTTTTTGTGGCTCTGAGTCTGACACTTCTGATCTATTCCAATCCCTTCCTTACAGGGAAGAAAATGGAAGTACACCAAGAAAAAATGATTTGCCAAAGGTCACACTGAAAGTTAATAACAAAAGGGAAACCAGGTCAACAAATTTTGGTCTGATCCCCATTAGTTTACTACACCACAGCTACCTTCCCCAAACTAAGTATTGTAATGATATCTTTGGAAATTTAAAAAAAAAAAGGTTACCATATGGCCATGAAAGTTAACTTAAAATAACATGTTTAAAACATTTCAACTTACTCTTGGCAGCCTCCAACTATGCCTATTCTTCCATCTTGACCTTTATGTTTTTTAGTAGTTAAAGGGGGTATAACATTTCTCACCAGCTGAAAAATATTCTCCATGTCCTTTACTGAGTGAGCTTTGTGTACTGAAAACGATCTCTCTAAAACTAAAAGAAGAAAAAATAAAAAGAAAAACATAATCATTATTACAGAAAGATAATCTCTCATTTTAGTGTAGATGTACAGACACATATGAACAATCCCTATAAATAATAAAAACTTTCAGAAAGTTGATTATCTTGAAAACTCTAACCGCTTTGAGATTATTAGTATTTTTTTAAAAAGTTTTTCACATATTGCTGTCAAATTACCATGTCTTGACACTTTTAACATAGACTTTAAAAATTCCTGAGAATCCCCATATATTTATAGAAACAATTATTTTTCATGTAAAATTGATGTATACATTTAGCTTTTGAAAACTTTACTTTCAACCACTAGACATTTTGGGCGATAATTTGAAAATACCAGGAAGTAGAAAGATCTGATGCTTTCCTCCCCTACTCCCAAGAAGTCATCTGAAAAACATAAATACTTGGAAACAGAAGACCCGAGTTTAAATCCAGTCTCAGACGCTTACTAGCTGTGTGACTGGGCAAGTCATTTAACCTGTTTGTCTCAGTTTCCTCATCTGCAAAATGGGGATACCACCAGCTCCTGCCTCCTAGGGTTGTTATGAGCATCAATTAAAATAACATTTGTAAGGTGTTTAGCACTGGCACATAGTAAGCACTATAAAAACGTTAGATATGGGGCAGCTAGGTGGCGCAGTGGATGGAGCTCCGGCCTTGGAATCAGCAGGACCTGAGTTCAAATGTGATCTCAGACACTTGACACTTAACTAGCTGTGTGACCTTGGGCAAGTCACTTAACCCTGACTGCTTAGCCAAAAAAACCCAAACAAACAAAAACTAAAAAAAAGTTAGATATTATTACTATGATAATGATAAATGTCTTATTTACTCAACATTTTGAAAGGCATGACAGCCATTTAAAATAAGAGTACCAAATATGTATTTGCTATATTTTACTGTTAAGCTAGGTGTTCATTATACCCCATTTTGAAAAGTTTTTCCAAGTGTATTTCTAAAACTTGTTTGGACACCAATTATCCTAAGTGTAGAGAACAACTAGTGTTCCAAATATAGACCCTTCAACTAATTTTAATCTAATTTACGTGGCATTTTAAAATCAGTAAATACTTCTGAATTTTTCTTAATTGGTTCTGCTTGATAAATTTCCTATTATAAAGTCCTTCGTAGCTTCATAGTCAGAAGACTTTGGCCACAAGTTCAGAGAGCCCAAAGTGTCAGCTGGGAAACAGAGACCTCACAAACCGGAGCTAAAAAAAGGAATTTTGCAAACATATGCCACATTTTCTTAGCTTTCTGCCAAAAACACTACCCACTACAATTAACTCATTTGCTGAGAAAATTAAAAGGAGCTTTCACAAGTTCAACTGAAGGCAGAAAGCTGCCAAAAGGCTTTCTCCTAGAAAAGGTTTATATTTTTAGACGCTTTTTCAAGTTTATTTCTTATTCACTTGATTTTTATAATCTAGAGATGATGTAATGCAGATAATAGACATAATAATGAGATTTAGCTACATTTTCATAAAATGTTGATGAAACATTAATTCAGCTATAATCATCCTGAACACCTTTATGGATTCAAAAAAATTTGACATGGCTAATTTAGAATAAAAAGTTTAAGAAAGAGACAGACATGGATGGTATAGTGGTGAGAGAGTGAAAAGCCCAGATGACCCAGATTCAAATCCTGCCTCTGAAATACTAGTTATATCACCCAGGTCAAGTTACATAACCTCTCAGAGCCCTGGGCAATTCTCTAAGATTTTCAATTGCACAGAATAGACAATAAACATTTATTGTGTGCCTCAGTGCCAGAAGAAGGCGCTAACTTCCACTGGCGGAGGGAGGTTCCTCAACTCAGTTCTCTATATGAATGAAATAACAGACTCATTCACTCTCGCTAGGCTACAGATAAACTCTACATCCCACATTGGAAATGCCAGGTCAACACCATCACTTTCTCCCTTTCCCACACCCTCAACAATATTCACAAAATGACTCAAAACACAATTACTGTATAAGCTTTCAGTTTTCAACAACTCTGTTCCAATAATAAACACAGTTGGCTAATTCCTTGGTACATCCCAGTAAGTCTTTCATTAAAATGGATGGACCCAATGAATTAAGAAAAAACATTCCCCACTTAGTGCTCCTCTATTCCCTTGCTTCTAGGCCTGCCACAAAAGCAGTACAAGAGACCTGAAGTGCTCACTCCACTTCTTGGAACCTAAGACTAAATCCTTCAGTTCCCCACAATTAATTTAAAGTTGACACATCTTTTGTAGCTCTTCCTCCTTTCCCTGCTCCCTGATTTTTCCACTAGTAGAACTACAAAAAAAATACACATCTCACAGACTACTACTTTCTGAATAAGTTTTTTCCCCCATGTGAAAGAAAAACTTACAGTAATTAGATTTAGCTACCACTTTCAGAATTAATGAAAAATTAATTCAGCTATAATTACAATGAACATCTTTACAGGTATTTCACAAAAAAACATTAATATGTCACCATTTTAGTATCAAATGGCATGATTAGCAACTAAGTAATAGTAAAGGCAAATTTTAAAGTGATAGGTTCATGACCTGGAATGGTCCAAATATAATCAACTGCATTAATTATTTAAAAGAATCGCGACTGTTTTCTTCTGTTCAGTATCAGAAAGCACAAAAAAAATTTACAATTTCCAAAGTCACTGTGTTATAAAAACAAGCTACAATTTATATAGATAAATATGTCAAGGATCAGAATTTTGCCAGTTTCACCAGAGTATCTATATCCCAGAGACAGCAACCCTTCAGTAATTTAGGAGATGTCTTAAGAGTTGTCTGAGACTCAGAGGTTAAGTGACTTGCCCAAGGTATGCCCAACATACCTGATGTTGGAAGGTAAGATCTGAGTTCATCCTCTGGACTTCAAATACAGCATTTTATGCATCGAACTAGAAGTGCCAAAGTTAAGGCTTTTTGTAGGCGGATGCAAAATTCACTGAGTGGCCCACACCAGATTAAAATGAATTGGGAAATGTTTAACAAAATAAATTAAAATACAACATAGATAATGTTAAATTGTAGTTTTCTAAGTCACTATGTATTCCACACAGATCTGTTTCTATTTGAGTTTGATACCACACTAGCTCTTTATACATGGACCAAAAAAAATAATGTGAGTGTATGAGAGGAGAGAGAGAGAGAGTGCGTGTGTGTGTGTGTGTGTGTGTGTGTGTGTGTGTGTGTGTGTGTGTACACAGTTATCCCTTCCACATCATAAAGGTTTAGGGCGCAGTGTCTCCATGATCTAGAAAATTCAAGTAAAATTTTTGGCCTTCCCTTCATAACAGAGAAGGGGTCTGAATTTTTTCTTTCTTTCTTTTTTTAATGGGGTACTTATAGTACCTTATTGTAAAATTTAAGCTAAGTATTTGGTCATAGGCTATATGTAGGTCAATGTTAAGTAAAAATACTGTATGAAAAAGAAAAAAATATAAAATATGAAAAATGTTTAAAATGAAACAAATTTAAGGAGAATAATACTGAAAATATTGCACATACAACAAAAGACATTTAAAAAAAAACCTTTGAAATTCCCTACTTGTACTCACCATTAACCTCTGGTACATCTCTGCAATCTAACTTGAAAGGAAGAAGTTGAATGCTGCCTTTCTCTTCAATCAGTTTCTTCGGGGTTTCAGGAAACTCCCTAGCTGCCTCTTGACCGATAGATGCTGTCTCTTGATCAGCAGATGCTGCCTCTCCCATTACTTTTACACTGCATAGGCTAAACCTTTTTTTAAAATTTTCAAACCAGCCTTTGCTGGCCTGAAAATCCGCAGAGGTAGACCCTTCACCTTCATTTTCCTTTAGGAAATCATATAAGGACTTAGCCTTTTCTCGTATGATGCCAGAGTCTACTGGAATGCCTTTTTTATAACAATCCAGCACCCAAAAGAATGTTGCACTTTCTACTCGAGAGAGATTTGGATCTCGGGGTTTATGCAAATACTTTGCAGTTGTTGGTGCCGCTGCAGCAATGGCTTCACGGATTTCCTTTTCTTTTTTCTTGATATGCCTTACTGTGGACTCATTAATGCAGTAATGGCGGCCAACCGCAGCAGCTGTTTTGCCTGAACGAAGCATGTCTAACAATTCTACTTTTTCCTTCAAGTTCATCACTCTCCTCCGTTTCTTGGGAGCACTTTTCGAACCACTAGGCACACTACGTTTGGGACCCATGATTTTAAAAGAGTTTATGGCGTTTAAATACCACAAGATATGAGAAACTCGAGATGCAAAGATCACTTGGAGATATCATATGAGAGACTGCTGTAATCACGCTTGGCATCCCCAAACCAGTGCGTAGAACCGCAGTTCTTTTACTACAAATTTAATTTTAAGGAAAAAAAAAGTGTAGCTGTTCATTTATGTTATTAAACAGTAAAATACATACTGTACAAGTAATATTACATATAACAGCAATACAGTTTATATGCATTTATGAGTTACTAAACTTTTTAAGGCATCTCTACATTTCTAGCCTTTGTGTGTCACTTGCTGGCTTTCACATTCTTTTTCCAAATTTTAACTTTTTACTTACTTTAGCTTTAGAAAAGAAATGGTGTACGTTTATAGCATTAAAAGGTAAAATCTGTTGATATTATACAATACCATACATATATTTTATGCATTTTGGAGTTTCTACACTTCTTCTGTGTCATCTGCGGCTTCCACAAAACTCTCAAAAAGTTCCCATTTACAATAATTTCTTATGCCGACCTGCGATATACTGAAACCACGATGGGGAAAAGTTGTGGTGCGGAAGGGATAACTGTGTATGTGTATATGTAAGTTGGGTGTGTATCCATGCTGGCACTTTACATACGGACCAAAATAGAGATTTATATCCATGCAGGTTAACTCTTCAAATATACAAAAAACATATCTAAATATACTAGATATTCTAGAAACTATTCAATTTGATTTACTTCATGTTTATACAAGCATAGCAATAGCTACTGTGTGACTTGCTATTGCAGTCTTTAACATATCATTTCAAAGGCAAATGCAATCACTAGGCTACAACCACAATGACTGTGTAGTAACAATGCCAGTCTTATACAGAACTGTCAAAATCTGAAATCACTAACAAATACATTCTCTAAGATATCTGATATTAATAGTATATCATTCTATAGTACTATTGTTTCTAAGTAAAAAGATAAATGATACACTTTAAAACGTCTTCCTATATATAATTCTTCCAACTCTTACCTGAAAATAGATAACTGGAAAAAAAAAAAGTATCATATGCATACCAAATGTATAATACATGTTAATTACTGAAGTATCTCATATTTTCTAACACTAGTCTAATGTCTATCCCAAAGGGTTTTAACCTGGGGTCCACGGACCCTCAGTAGTTAAAGCATACATTGCTCAGAGACCCTGAACATGCATCGGAAAAAAATTCCATCTTTATGTTAATTTGCCTCTAATTAAAATATAGCATCTTTTTCAATTTAATTTAAAAAATAAAACATTATTCCAAGCAAGAGTCTATAGATTTTACTAGGCTGCCAAAGGAACCTATGAAACAAAAATGGTTAAGAACCCCTGCTCTAGCCAATAAGTACATGGGGTATAATCATGCATAAAATCAGGATTAAATATACTATTAAATGTTTCTCTATTCCAAGAGAGTCCTTAGACAGTGAAATATTTTTCACACAGCAAAACCAATTAAGTGTGAAATATGTCATATTTTCCAGTCTTCAAGAGTACACTTCTTTCTCTGTTATGTCTAAAAACAGTCCAGTAGTTTGTAAAAGTCACTTGTAACTGAAAAGAGCAATGTTTCCACAAAGAAATTTTGCGGGATTATTAGATGGAAAAGGCTAAGGTATCAAGAAATCTCTACTGCTCATAGAGAAAGAAGAAAGAGATTTAGATATCAGGAACATTAACTTGCAAAACAAGATTGTCTTGACCACAGCAATAAGTAATCCCAATTAAATTATCTTCTGAGATAAGCTATTTATTTGTATTCTATTAAAGCATTGACACATAATGGTGCAAACATTATTTTTAACTTACTTTCAAAGTCTTAAAAATATACCTGTGATCTAAACATCTGTGACAAACACTTCAATTTAAATATTTATATCCCAGTAAAATATAATATTACTGAAACACAACAGATGATAGCGATTTGGTTAGAGCTTAATTTATTGCTTGATGTTGGCCTTTAACATTTATAACAAACAGCCCTAGATGAAAAATACCCTGAAAGGAAAATTTAAATTTGGAAAATGTCTTCTTTTATTCTTGGCACTAACAAGAGGAATTAAGGAACAGACTAGTGGGTAATAAATTTCTTAGACAAGCACCTTCTGGTAGATTTATAATGGGCTTACGTCGTATAACACTTGCCTTTATTACTAATAATGTAAATCTCATTTGGTCTGAAAAATCAGCACTACAGACAAGGCATGAAATATTTTATATCAAATACAAAAAGAAAGTACATAAATCACAATCCAATATTCAATTACCCTTCCACTTCCCTCCATTAGGACTAGAAAACCTGGATCATTACAGTTATCCCTTCCACATCTCAACTTTCCCCCATTGAGGTTTCGATATATCATGGCATGGCCTAAGAAATTAAACGGGAATTTTTTTGGAGTTTTGCAGAAGCCGCAGACAACATGAAAAGGCCAAGAGATGACATAGGGCCTATGACCAAATATTTACCAGAAATTTCACAATAAGATACTGTAAATAATCCATAAAAGAAAAAATTCAGACTCCTTCTCTGGTACAAAGAGAGGGCCAAAAAATTTTATGTGGATTTTGCAGATGGCATGGGGTGCCTTACCACTAACTGCCCCCACCCCCACCTCAATGTGGAAAGGATAATTGTAAATGCTTTTCAAAACAAAAATACTCTTTAGCTATACTTCAAAATGCAGTACTTATCAGTGGAAAAAGTGTTGCTGCCATAGCATTATAATTAATGTTCTTTGCATAGGATGGATAAGTTTGCTCTCTGAGGTGGACTGAGTGGTCTGAACTGTGACCTTTGTATCATGGTTGAAGAAACTGCAGCTAACATCTGTCCCAATACTTGCAACATCCACAACTCTTGAGCATGTTCAGTTTCTCCACTCTTGTCCTTGATTCTAAGCCTCAGCTCCTCACATTTGTAAAACTTTTCTTCTGTTTCCATACTTTGTTGCAAAAACTTCTCCATCATTTTATCCAGCATCATGTTGGCATGGTGGTTTTTTTTTAATTATCTTTTCCATTGAGGCAGAGGTAATATGTTGGTCTTAAAGCCTGAATCAAAAAATAGATATGAATAAGCACACACACAAATACCAGCTTTGATCAAGCCGTAAGATCATTTGACTTCAGCTCAATAGAAACTTTCATCAAAACACCTGAACAATAATTATGACTTAACTGGCAAATATATAACAATATCGTGTGTTATATATATTAACCAATGTCATGTTTTCAGATATGGCTATAACTGCTACACAGAGGGACTTTCTCATCTGTTTAAAAAAAAAAGCCTCCTTCATCTGAGAAAAGAAAGAACTCTGCCTGCAATCACACAGAAATGTTTTTAACATTCTGGAGGAAAAAACTTGTGAAAATAGTGGAAGCCTAAGGACAACATTATCAAAGTATGGTAAATGTCCAATCTGCTTTTAGTGGGAGGAGATCTGAATCTACTTTTTAGTGCATAGCATATATCTCATAAAGGCACTGAAAAAAATGTGTGAAAAACGTCTCTCCTTCAGACACACTGCATTCTCACTCATCCCTGAGTAGCAGTTTGTGTTTAAAAAAAAAAAGTACAATCTCTTAAGATCTTGTGCTTCATCCTGAAAATTAAACAAGACAGAAGAGTATTTTTCAGCTGATGGAATGTCAAAGGTTGTAATGGAAGTTCAGCTAAGTCAGCCAGCAAAAACTCTTGCCAATCACACTAGGTCTTAAGTCTACTTTCATAAATTAATTGGATTTGTATTCAGAAAAACTTTAGTACAAGCATTAGCTTTCTGAAGGAATACAGGCTTCAAGAAGAGATATCAAATATTTTATGAGCAGTATCATTATGACAACTTTAGGTTTCAGGAAAAAAAAATAGAACATCACCAAATTAAAAAACAAAAGGTGATAATGAACTAGACAGTCAGGAAAGTATACACACTTACACTGGGCTGCTTTCTAGAACTATTTATGCCAATAAATCCAAATTTTTTGAAGGTGCAACCTTTGGTAATCACGCCTTCTTTCTCCTAAGTGTGCCAAATGGCAAATTTTAAATTGCGTAAATTTTCTTTAGAGAATCTTTCTGACTTCTTTAGTTTGAAATAACTGGAGCACCCTGGTGGATGTGTCTCCAAATTTGGGCCAGGGAATCACTAACTTGGGCTTTTGGGTTTTAATTTTTTTAGTTTTTGCTAATGAATTTAAAAAATTTTCTCCCAGCTAACTACAAAAAATGTTTAAAGAAAACAAAATTTCAAATACACAAGAAATATATTTAATAATAATTAAGACTTATTGAACTGTCTAGTGATTAGATCAAGGTAAAAAAACAGTTTTACTGGCTATAACCAAACAGCTGTTCCTGGGGAAAAAAACTTTTTTTTTTTGGTGAGGCAATCCGGGTTAAGTGACTTGCCCAGGTCACACAGCTAAGTGTCAGGTGTCTGAGGATGGGGAGGAGGGGGGTAACAAAAAACTTTTACAAATCAATTAGGAAACTGCATTGCCAAAGAATCAAAAATAAAAAATTTCAAGTCATCTTGTTCACTTCGTGCTTAACAAAGTAATTCTGAAAAAGGATATGACAATCCCTTTTACATTCATATCTCAGGACAGGGCAAAGGAAATATTTAAATGGGGCTTACAAAACAGAGAAGCAAACATTTAAGTTTAAGGCAAAATTATTTCTAAAAGTCAATGGGCCCCCTCCCTGCTCAGAAGTAATCTAGTGGTTAATCCTATTTAGCAAGAGGTTAGGTGAAAGAGGGTAGTAAGAGGTGGTGGCTCCCTAGGTATCACGGTGTCCCTCAGGGTCCACTTTTCTCCTTCACCCTCAGCTAAGATAAGCAGACCTTGGGCAGAGTACTCACCACAGCTGGGCAGCACCTGGACGGCTAAAAGGGAGACACTCCACTTCGATGGGGCACTCGAAAGGAAGAGCACTTGTCCACCAAGTTCTCATGGGGAGGCTCCAGCCTGCCCCTGTCCATCTTTCCTTCCGTTGTCTCTAAGACGCTGTAGTCCACCACTCCTAGGCAGCTGCCTCTCACGCCTGCCGCGACTGCTGCAGCAGGACCATCGTCTGCGCAGTCTTGCTCAGAGTAGTCTGGGGACTCACGGTCCACCTCATCGCAGGATTTGCAAATCTTGCGCGTATGCCCACTCTTCCCAGGTTGTTCTGCCTTTGAAGCGGATCCCGCGCAGCTTTAGAGTCCGGTCCAAACGTGGCCATTCCAAAAATTGCCAGCTAGAGCCGAATGAACGCCTCCTTCGCCCCAGAGGCCCAGGAGGGCACGGGTCTACAAGTCAGACCACAGGAACCCCCGGGTTCACTTCGTCCTCCCCAGGATGAAGTCGTGGGGAGAGGCTGGTCATACACCCCCCACCCAGTCCTCTTCCCAGGATAGGGGTAGATGAAGAAAGACTCAGGTGTTATAACAGCAAACAAAAAGGGGGAAAAGGAGAGGACGGGAGAAAAAGGCAATCAACAAACATCAAACCCAGAGCTGGGGAGCTGTCAGTCGCTGGGAGGCAAACAGGCAATTAACAAAGCGTGAGGTAGTAAGACCCAACCAAAAGGAGGAGGATTATATCTCCCACATGTTGGGGATATAGTATATATAATTCATAGATACTATTACAGTTCTAGCCGGGGAACCCTCAGAGACTGCGAGCTGGGCCAAGAGGCAGCTCGCACCTCTTTCCACTCCTCTCTTCCAACGGGGGGAAGGGGGGGAAATGGGGCGGGGAAGGAGAAAGTTTAAAGGGGGCATTAGAGGCCCCAGTGCTCTAGCTTCTCCGTTCACAAGCAAATCCACAGTGAGAACGCAGCCAAGCACACACACCCAGACTGCAGAGACCAGTTTTGTGCACCATTTCTTCCCAAGGCAGCGAAGAACCGCCGTTTCCTCAGCTGATGACGATCCAAACATAGCCTCCCCCGGCCGCTACCCCGGCTACCCTGCTCCGCTAGCCTCAGCGCCCCCGGCCCGGCGCAACTCGAAGCTCTTGGCCGCGTGCCTGCGGTTACAGCATCCACCCCAGGCTGAACTGCTTCTATCCCCGGGTCTCATCTCCTCCACTGCCGGCTGTCCAGCTTAGCTTGGCGGTAGGAACGCAGCAGCAGCCCCGCACAGCTGTACAAGTCCTCCTTCAGCCGACAGAGCCGCCACTAACGCGCTCCACCAGGTCCCTGCCGCCCCAGCCCCTCCTCCCAAAGACGCGCACCTCCGCTCCCTCTCTGGGGATATCCGCTAGCAGGCAGGTTGAGCAAAGCCGATTCGGCCTCCCTTCCCCGCCTCCTGCTCGTAAACAGACACACCCCCTCCCCTTCCATCTCTCCGCCCCCTGCACCCTCTAGTCCCCAGAGCTCCGTCATCTCGCCGTGCGCTCTACCTCACCGCGCACAGCCAGCGCCCACCTTCCTGCGCTCCAGCTCTCGCACAGACCCGCCCGCCTCCCTTCTGCAGAGTGGGGGAGGAGGGAATGGGGCGCGCCGCCTCCTAGAAGCTTCAGGAAAGAAGGGCTAGGCTGGGTATACTCCCGCGTACCGGGCACCCGTAGGCCACGCACAGCCCTTTAGCTCTGTACCCGCCCTACAGACTGTGCGCCGCAGCCTTTTTCCCTTGCTCTTGTCTACGCATGGCTGCGAACAGAAACGCAGCTGAGGTTTAGTAATAAGGCTATTCCTGAGAAGGGCGAGGTTATATCACAGGTGAATAAGCCTGCTCCAGTGGGGACCTTTCGAGCTCAGTAGTTCACATTCCCCTATCCCTACATCCAGAAGTCCATTCTCCCCGACGCCACTCACCCTTCGGAATCTGCATCTGGAGGCTCCTGCGACGCGCTTCCCCTACCCCCTCACTACCTTAACAGGCCCTTCTCGTCCGGCTCCGCAGCAAACAGGGCACGGCGCAAGCTTTCTGCCCTCCACCCCACCGTCCCCGCCGGAGAGAAAAGCCCACGAGCCGCTGCGTGTACCTGAATCCAACGGCAGCCAGTAACAGATGAGCAGAGCCGAGAGCACGGCAGCCACGGCCGCTAGAGAGATCCCCACGGCTCTAGCCGCCGTTCCTCCCCAAATTATCATCTCCCGCAGGCAGTGAATCAGGACTGAAAACAGTGGTTTTCTTTTCTTTCTTTCTTTTTTTTTTTAAACTAAGTCTCAAATCCCCTCCCCCTATCGGGGCCTGAATGTTCTCTTACCTAGTTTGCCAGCAGGGGCGTTGGGGCCAACTCGGGCTAACAAACCACAGAAGCTTTTAATCACGATCATTGGGACGCTCTTCCGGGTTTGGCGGAAGCAAGTCTGCCAGCGGAAGCAAGTTCCCAAAACCCGGTCTCTGGCTCTTTTCTCTGGCTCTCCCACAGAGGGAGTTCGGCCTCCAACCCACTTAGCCAATCATTGCTTCCAAACCTTCGCGATTGACATTACAGACACAAAACCCTACCCAAGCTTTAGTCCTCTCCTATATGGTATTTCTTGTGAAGCTCATTGCAAGCGTGTGAGCCAAGGCATTGTTTGTTGATTCTCTTTTGTGATTTTTCTTTGCTGGGTCAGGTTTGCTGGCACGTTTGGTGTGGAGGGGGAGGGAGGGTGAAGAGATTGTTGTATAGAATTTAAAAAATGAGTAGGACGAGTTAAAGCTATGCCTCTAACAAACCTGTACTTGCAGAGAATTCTGTCAAGCCAACAAGCTTTTATTAAGCACCTGCTATGTGACAGGCATTGTGCCAATCACTAGGAATGCATATGCAATGAGAAAAACTGTTCCTGTCATGTAACAGTTTACTAATGGAGGAGACAACGTGTAAATAAATAGGTGCATCGATATATAGGGAGTAGAAGTAAGGCAAATAACCCTGAAAAGTAGGTGTTATTATGTCTCTCATTTTACAGATGAAGAAACTGAGGCAGGCAGCATTTAAGCTATTTGATATAGGTCACAAAACCAATAAATGTGTGAGGCCAGAATGTCAGAGTTTCCTGACTCCAAGTCTAGCCTTCTCTATCTATTGGACCTCCTAGCTGCCTCAATACATAAAAGGAAGCTGAAGAGGAGAATAGGAGGAAGGAATCCCTTCTGGGGTAAAGTAAGGAATACAACTTGGGAAGGAATGAAGACATGGCTGGCCTTGGTGTCCTCCTTAAAATGGAGGCAATAGGAGGAACCAGCCAATCAAAGGAAGTGGGCACAAGGGCAGAGGGTACTTCCAGTGTGAGAAGTCTAGAGGTACAATGATCTTCCAAGGTGGCATACATAGTAGAGAAATTCCAGGGAGTCCAGAATGCAGCCTAGAAAGCAGTCTTTTGAGTGTTTAGGGGAAGCCTATTCTGATGCTTGAACACTTATTTCATGTCTCATCAGAGCCAACCCACAGGGCAACCCACAACCTCAAGATTCTGTTGGAGAACAGTAAGAAGTGTCCTGGTATCAAAACGGTTTTACAAAAATACTTTGTATTATTTTTATTAGCTTGTATTTTAATTAAAATTAAGAATTCACCACAATTTAAGAAAAAACCAAACTTAAAAAGTGAAAAATAATGTAATAACAAATAATCACTCTATTGAATGTCTTTTTTTATCTTTATACAATATAAATATTTATTTTTAGTTTTCAACATTTACTTCCACAAGATTTTGAGTTCCAAATTTTCACCCCATCTCACCCCTCCCCCCACCCCAAGATGGCATGCATTCTGAATACCCCTTCCCCTAGTCTGCCCTCTCTTCTATCTCTCCCCCCCTTCTCTTATCCCCTTCCCCTTCTATTTTCCTGTAGGGCAGGATAGATTTCTGTACCCCATTTCCTGAATTTCTTTATTCCCAGTTGCATGTGAAAACATTTTTTTTAAACACGTGTTTTTAAAACTTTGTGTTCCTAATATTCGCCCTTCCTCCCTCCCCACCCACCCTCATTGAAAAGGCAAGCAACTCAATATAAGTTATACATGTGCAGTTATGCAAAACACTTCCATAGTAGACATGTTGTGAAAAACTAACTCTATTTCCCTTAATCCTATCCTGCCCCCCATTTATTCTATTCTTTCTTTTGACCCTGTCCCTCCTCAGAAGTATTTGCTTCTGATTACCCACTTTCCCAATCTGCCTTCCTCTCTATTCCCCTACTCTCTTGTCCCCTTCTCCCCCTATTTTCCTGCAGGGTAAGACAGATTTCCATACCCAATTGAGTGTGTATGTTATTCCCTCCTTAAGCCAAATCCTATGAGAATAAGATTCACTCATTCTCTCTCACCTTCTCCCGTTTCCCCTCCACTGTAAGAGCCTTTTCTTTTCTGTTTTTTTGTGAGATAATTTACCCCATTCTACCTCTCCCTTTCTTCTTCTCTGAGTATAATCCTCTCTCATCCCTTAATTTTATTCTCCAGATATGACCCCTTAATCTTCAACTCACCCTATGCCCTCTATCTATCTATGTATCTATCTATCTATCTATCTATCTGTATATCCATACATACATATAATTTTTTCCCTCCAACTACCCTAATACTGACAAAGGTCTCATGAGTTATAAATATCATCTTTCCATGCAGGAATGTAAACAGTTCAACCTTAATAAGTCTCTTATGATTTCTCTTTCCTGTTTACCTCTTCATGTTCCACTTGAGTCTTGTATTTGAAAGTCAAATTTTCTATTCAGCTCTGTCTTTTCATCAAGAATGCTTGAAAGTCCTCTATTTCACTGAATGACCATTTTTTCCCCTGAAGGATTATACTCAGTTTTGCTGGGTAGGTGATTCTTGGTTGTAATCCTATCTCCTTTGCCCTCTGAAATATTATATTCCATGCCCTGTGGTCCTTTAATGTAGAAGCTGCTAAATCTTGTGTTATCCTGATTGTGTTTCCACAATACTTAAATTGTTTCTTTCTGGCTGCTTGTAATATTTTCTCCTTGACCTGGGAACTCTGGAATTTGGCTACAATATTCCTAGGAGTTTTCCTTTGGGGATCTCTTTCAGGAGGAGATCTGTGGATTCTTTCAATTTCTATTTTGCCCTCTGGTTCTAAAATATCAGGGCAGTTTTTCTTGATAATTTCTTGAAAGATGATGTCTAGGCTCTTTTTTTGATCATGGCTTTCAGATAGTCCAATAATTTTTAAATTCTCTCTCCTGGATCTATTTTCCAGGTCAGTTGTTTTTCCAATGAGATATTTCACATTGTTTTCTAATTTTTCATTCTTTTGGATTTGTTTTACAGTCTCTTGATTTCTCATAAAGTCCCTAGCTTCCAATTGCTCTATTCTAATTTTTAAGGAAGTATTTTCTTCAATAAGCTTTTGGATTACCTTTTCCTTTTGGCCAATTTTGCTTTTTAGGGCATTCTTCTCTTCATTGGCTTTTTGGATCTCTTTTGCCATTTAGGTTAGGCTATTTTTTAAGGTGTTATTTTCTTCAGTATTTTTTTGGGTCTCCTTTAGCAAGCTGTTGAGTTGTTTTTCATGATTTTCTTGCATCACTCTCGTTTCTCTTCCCAGTTTTTCCTCTACTTCTCTTACTTGCTTCTCAAAGTCCCTTCTGAGTTCATCCAAGGCCTGGGACTGATTCATATTTTTCTTGGAGGCTTTAGATGTAGGTGCTTTGACTTTATTGTCTTCTTCTGGTTGTATGTTTTGATCTTCTTTTTCGCCAAAGTAAGATAATATGGTCTGACTCTTTTTGTGCTGCTTGCTTGTGATCCTGGCCAATTACTTGAGTTTTAAACTGTTTGTTAAGGTAAGAGTCTGCTTCCAATGTGGACAGTGTACTGTCCCAAGATTCAGGGGTTTGTATAGCTGTTTTCAGAGATACTTCTAGGGACCTGTAAATGTTTAGTTCTTCTAAGGTGGTATGATAAGGGGCGAGGTGTTTACTCCTTTCCTGGCCTGTGCTCTGGTCTACGAGTGACCACAAGCAGTCTTTTCCGTCTTGGAACTGTGAGGAAGATTTTCTCTCCCTAGCCACTATAAGCTCTACCATGCCAGCACTCCTCCTCGCCTCAGGATTGCCACCCAGAACTGTGACCCAGATCCAAGCACAGGCAAAGCAAGAGAATCCTGCGCCAGCAGAGAGATCCCTGCAATCCCCCCCGATCAGCCACCCAATTCCCCCTCAGTCTGTGGGCCTCCCAGTCAGTCTGTGGGCCGAAAGCTCAGGAGGCAGCCACCACGCTGTGGACTTGCAACTGGGATCTAGCTTCTATCTCTCTCACCGAGGAAACAGACTTTTCCCACTGACCTTCCAAGTTGTCTTTGGTGTTTGTGGGTTGAAAAGTCTGGAAACCACCACAGCTGTCTAGGATTCAGTTCTCTGAGGCCAGCTCCAGGCTCCCAGCGACCTGCACACCCACGAGGAACTGTGGTCTTCTCCCTGCTCTGCCTGATATGTCTTTCCAATCAACCATCCAGATTGTCTTGGGCTGGAAATTTGTTTCACTTTGTCTTTTTGTGGGTTCTGCTGCTTTAGAATTTGTTTAGAGCCATTTTTTATAGATATTTAGAGGAGTTTAGGGGAGAGCTCAAGCAAGTCACTGCTTTATTGAATTTCTTGTCAAACGGCCAGAACCCTTCATTGAAGGGAAGGGCTGGGTGTTCATAGCCCCCAGTGCCAATTGGATGACTTCCTTCATTCTCATCTGCCAGAGGGAAGGGCTGGTGGGAAACATGCAGTCAGTATTGGGGGACATAAATGCCAAACCTCTCCCTCCAGTGTAGGTTCTGGGCCTTTCCTCCCGGTAGCAACGTATTCCTTTCATGCCACCCATGTCTGGGCCCATTAATCTTTCAACTGCAGGCTCTTCTTCTATCACCTCCCACCAGTTGGAGAGGATTCAATGCTAATTTAGCATTTCTAGACTTTGGTTTGAACTTTGTTTTCAATTATATTTATCCAAGTATTGTACTTTAAAGTATCCAATAATTTTGATTACTTCCTCAAATTATTCCAGATTGCCTACCATGGAAGCCTCTGGGTCCTCTACTGTGTGATGGAGATAGTAGCCTCCTTCAACTGGCTACCTTTATCTTTAAAATTGGTGAGACTGAGCCAGTCACTCCTCTTTTCCACCACCATTTTTCTGCTATCTCTTATTGACTGCACCCAGAGGGTACAGATCCCAGCTTGTCCACAGTAAAGATTCCATGGACAAGTGAAAACTGAAAAGTTGAAAGGAAAAGGATGTTCCTTCCCCTGTCACTCCTCTTTTACCCTGGATTTTTAGAAACAAGTGTGGGGGTATTTCTTTTCTGTTTGCCTTCCTCAGTTTGGGGTGCCTGAGGTAATCCCCAAA